TCCCAATGAGGATTCCCCCCCATTCCCTCTTCATCAATTCTCTCTCACCTTACCATATACTTATAGAGCCTTGGGCTCCTTACCTAATCAATGCTTTCAGCTCTACTTCTTACGTGGTATCGGAGCGACCTATCTGCACACGCGGATCAAGATCCTTGTCTTAACGTGCCCGCGATACGCGCACCTTATCATCGCGATATTCATTTCGAGTCGTCGAAATTGTCAATGTGCTCCACTGTGCAGTCGCGCCTCTCATCGTCGACCGCCTTCGCGCTCGACCTCATTGAATTTTGTTGGAACTTTTTCGCTTGCACATCATCCTGTCGTCTGTTCGCATCATTTCGTTGCATGTGTTTTGTGTGCTACGTTGTTTGTATGGTTTGTTGGGTTCGCATGTCTTTGCATGTTCATGTTGTGCTTGTGCAGATGTGCTTGGATTGTGCATGGCATCAAGCACATTTCAACGAGCCAAGAATTGTTGGAATCGGAGGACATATGAAGAAGTTAGGAAGAAATATTTGATGGATTTGTTACAATTCATTGGAAGTCCTTGGCAGCTGCTACACCAAAGTTGGAGAGCCTTATAACGAGGAGGGACCAGCATGTGTGGGTTTTGGGGCCTTGCAGCTGCAGCATTTGGGGTTTGGAGGCCAACGTGGCACAGTGTGAATTTTGTCTTGCCAGGCTGGCTGAACCTGAAGATGGGGAGTCAAGACTTTGACTCTTGTCATGTTCTTGACCAATTGCCTCCAGGGTCCTTCCCTTTCGTCCTTCCCTTCCTACCCCACCTTCCAACAATGCTTCAATGTCTTTTCCATCATGTCTGACTTGTAAGCTTCAATTATAGTGATTCTGGAAACTGTCAATTTCTCCTAGGGAAGATTACCCCCCAGTGCGCCAAACGCCATAGCTCACTCGATAAGCTACAGAATCACCTGATTCAACTTTCTGTGGAAAGCGGACACTGCAAGCTACAACATATCCAATTTTCAGCCCGTTCGATGGCTTGGAGTTTTTGATATAGCTTTTTGAAGGTCGCGGGTTTTCTGGGTGTCATAACGAAGTGCTGCAGAAACTCCCGAGGAGCCATTGAATCATCTGCTTATAGCCTTCTCTAACCAACAAATTTCTCAACTGGAAAGCTTTCACGCTTCCCATCATCGATTTCCTCTTTGGTTATCCTTGGTCGAATCTCAATTTCGACCATCTCTTAAAACTCGTTTTCGAGTTTCCCCTCGGACCCAGCCAAAATAAGCAAACTCCCCTCGCGGAATCGCCTCCAAGAACTTCTCTCGTCAAGCAAGAGAAGGTACACAGGTGGAAGCGGAGCGGAGCTGGTTGCGGAGCTGTGTAGCTGCGGGACGGGGCCTGGGGGTGTGTGGGGGAGTGTGTGGGTCCGGGGCTAGACATAGTCTCAGATTTAGTTTCAAGTTGGCGTTTTAACAAATTTCCGCCCACGCCATTTCCTTCTTTGCGGCATTTCGACAAAGCCGCCGAAATGATTTTCAGCAATTCTCGTCGACCAATTTCTAGAATTGCCGCGCTGCACACCGAAGTTCATATCGATGATTTAAGAGCGTCGCTTCGCGAAAACCAATCGGCAATGGCTTACTCAACCACTTCACTCGCCAACCCGATCCCGCTCCTTCGTCTCGAGCCGGACGGCACATGGTCCAACTACAAGGCTTAGCGCTATGGTGTCGACAAGCACCTTCTCAGTCGTGAGGTGAAGGGGCTCGAGCTCATCGACGTCCTTCTCTACATCGGTGACGGCAAAGAGCCTCCTAAACCTGAGAGGTCCGTCGATCAAGCTAATGCCACCGCTGAAGCAGTTTATGCTACTGCACGGCTCAAGTACAAGAATTGGAAGAAGGCCGATGGCGCGGTCATTAGTGTCTTCATAGGCACCACTCCTCCCGAACTTGTTGAAACCTACCAGAACTACCCGTCTGCCAACGCCATTTGGCTCTACCTTGAAGACCGCTTCCTGAACAAGACTGCAGTGGGAGTTGCTATTTTCATCCCCAGCATGTTCCAAGTGCGGCTCCAGGACTCGCCAGGCATCGCGGACTATGTCACCAAGGTGCAGTCCATTCATGATGAACTCAAACAGTTGGGGATAGTCTTTCCCGAGCAAGCCCCTGCAGCCGCTCTCCTAGTTAGCCTCACTCCGGCATACGAAGTCACACGCAAGATGCTCTTGGGCCTTGCTCCTGCGGACCTCACATTTGCCAAGGTCTCATCCGTGCTCCTTTCTGCCGAAAAGGACAACAGCGCTCAAGCCAAGGCCAATGCAATCCGCACTCCTGTGCCTCAAGCCTATGCCACTTCGGCACCATTCCAGCGCAACCGCTTCCCCCCGTGTGCCTACGTTATCAAGCGCGGAACTCGTGCCGGCCAGGTGTGTGGCGGCACCAACCACGCCCTTGCCTTCTGCTTCAAGAAGAAGGATGACAAGTGGTATGCCATCAATGGGACCGCCTCGAAGCCGCCAAGCTGGATGGTCAATCGTACTCCTGGCCAAGTCAATCAAGTCGAAGCGCAGGAATCCGTGCAGGCTGCTGTGGCTGCACCTGCTGATGTGCGCCTGAACATGTTGTTCCCTAGCACTACCATGATGCATGAGATAATTTCGCAGTGTCCCGGCTCACAAAGCACCTCAGCCACAATAGAGTTCACCCTCGACAGTGGGGCCACTTACACAGTTCTCAAAGAAGAACACTCCTTCAAGCCATACAAGATACCAATCCCTCTACTAGGAGCAGACTCCAGTTACACAACACCCGCCAAGGGCTCCTCTGCAGTTCCGTGCCCAGCTTCCCTTCGGGCAGTATCACCGGCATGTGTGTTCCCACACTACGCCACAATCTCGTGGCCCAAGAGGAGCTCCAACGGGCAGGCGTCACTACGATCTTCACAGCATTCTCGGATCACTGGGACCTCCTTGATCCTAAGTCCAACAAGCTCCTAGCACGCTTCACACTCAACAGCAGCAAGCTCTACACGCTGCGTTCACCTGCACCTCTCGCCGCCCTCTCCAAAGCGCAAGCTGCCAACACCACTCCGTGTTCGTGTCGCAGCTTCGCCAACCCAACCATCCTCTACCACCATCGCTTGGGTCACCCCAACTGCCGTACACTTGCCGACATCGCTTCCAAGAAACTTCTTCTTGGCCTCCCGTCGGCGCTTCCTCCACCAACAGACTCGCCTGCACCCACCTGCCTGGACTGCACCAAGAGCAAGCTCAGGCAGCAGCCGCACCCTTCCTCTCCATCCGTTGCAGCTGCTCCGCTGGACCTAGTGCACATGGATGTCTGGGGCCCAGCTCCAGTCGCTGTTGGTTAGAGAAGGCTATAAGCAGATGATTCAATGGCTCCTTGGAAATTTCTGCAGCACTTCGTTATGATGACCAGAAAACTCGCGACCTTCGAAAAGCTATATCCAAAACTCCAATCGATGAAACAATCTGAAAATCGTATATCCTGTAGCTTGCAGCGTCAGCTTTCCACTGAAAGTTGAACCACTCGATTCCGTAGCTTAACGAGTGAGCTATGGCGTTTGGCGCACTGGGGGGTAATCTGCCCTAGGAGAAATTGACAGTCCTCAGAATCACTATGATTGAAGCTTACAAGTTCAGAGGCATGATGGAAAAGGCATTTAAGCATAGTTGGAAGGTGGGGTGGATAGGGAAGGATGAAAGGGAAGGACCCTGGAGGCCCTTGGTCAAGAACATAACAGGAGTCAAAGTCTTGACTCCCCATCCTCAGGTTCAATCAGCCTGGCAAGACAAAATTCACACTGTGCCAGGTTGGCCTCCAAACCCCAAATGCTGCAGCTGCAAGGTGGGGACAAAAGTCCCACACATGCTGGTCCCTCCTCGTTATAGGGCTCTCCAACTTTGGTGTAGCAGCTCCCAAGGACTTCCAATGAGTTGTAACAAATCCATCAAGCATTTCTTCGTAACTTCTTCATATGTGCTCCGATTTTAACAATTCTTGAATCGTTGGAATGCGCTCGATCTGATGTACAATCCAAGCACATCTGCACAAGCACAAGATGAATATGCAAAGACATGCAAACCCAATAAACCACACAAACAACGTAGCACACAAAACACATGCAACGAAATGATGCGAACAGACGACAGGATGACGTGCAAACGACTATGCACCAATCGTGCGCCTGTGTGCGGTTTCCCAATCAGTCTCCCCCGACCTTGCAGAAACCGTCACTCCTGCAGCACTAACTGCATTGCACTCCCCCTGGACTCCAGATCCCGCCTTTACTACTCCCAGCTCCTTCTTTGTTGATTACCATATCAGCGCAGGGATCTGCCACATGGATCTGAAGACATCTCTGCTTTCGTGTAAATCCCACAACACACGATCTCCTCGCAGCCCCTTGAATGTTTTGGATCCATTGGTGGTGGTGCTGACTCCGGCCTGGCCTAGCTTGCGCAGCGATATCAGATTGGCCTTCAGCCCCGGTACGAGTAACACATCCTTCAGCACAACCAGTCCACTATGAGGTGCTCTGAATGCAGCTCGACCAACTCCAGTGACCTTCACTGCATGTCCGGATGCTGAGAGCACTTCAGAGATTGGAGGCGCTCGCACAGCATCCAGCAAGTCCTTGCGTGGTGTCATTGTCCATGCAGCACCAGAGTCCATGACCCACATGTCAAGCGGGTGCAATTCCTCTCCAGCCCTTGCAACAGCTGTGCCACTGTCATCTTTGTCACACACATGGTAGAACTGTCCAGCATTCCTCTCCTCATTTCCCATTCCTCTGTCATCCTTGGAGGTTTCTTCTGCAGGATCAGCTATCATGTTGGCACCTCCATGTTGTTGCTTTCCTCCATTCCCCTTTTGCGATTGGTTCCAAGGGGTCCACGAGTCGGGCTTGGTAGAGCAGCGAAACCATGGATGCCCTTCTTCCTTGCAATACCAGCACTCTCCCCTCAAGCGTGGTTCACTGTTGTCATTTGTTGGAGTGACCACCTCTTCCTCTTGCACCAGCGCCACCACGCCCCCGCTGGTTCCAAGTCCCGCGACCACCTTGGCTGTAGTAAGAGCGACCGCGATTGCCACGCCCTCGATCCCCCCATGTCCCTTGCATGGCATAGCCGCTGGTGCTATCATCACCTCCGCGCAGTGTATAGCGACGAAAATCTTCTTCCAGAATCTTGGTGCGAATCCACTCCAATGTCCATTGACTTTGGTTTTGTGGCAAGCTGAGTCCGCTTATAAATTGCAGCCAAGACTCGAGCAGCAGGCTGAGCATCTTGAGACACTTAGTCTGCTCAGGGTACGTGATGCCCGCAATCGCCAATTTCGCGAGAGTTCCCTAATCTTGTCCAGAACGGGCTGCACAGGTTCATTCTCGCGCAACCGCAGCATGGACAGCTCCCGATCCAGCATGAGAGAAGCGGCAACCGATGTCGGAGCGTGCAGGTCCTTGAGCACTGCCCATGCCTTGGGCCCACAATCAGTTTCCGATAGCAGATGCATGATGTGATGCCTCTGGTTCAGCTCCAAGCTTTGTGACAGTAGATAATACCCAGCAGTTGAACGTTCATCCCGGTCCGCTTGCTCTGCCATTTCCTTTGGCCTGGGCTCCGTTCCAATCATGAGCTTCAAGAGGCTGATTTGTCGAAAGTAGAGCTGCATCTTCCATGCCCAATCATCATAGCCATCTCCAGAGAACTTCTCAATGGTGAAGTTCTTCAGCACCTCCTTAAGCAGTGACCCCTGGCTTGTACGCGCTCCCCTTTGCGCTGCAATGCCAGAATCTTGGGTTGAGCTGCCTCCTTGGACTGAAGTATCACCTCCACCAGAGTCCTCCTTATCTCCTATCGTAATTTAGGTCCCAAATGCGTGATAATGGGCTCTGATACCACTAGTTGGTTAGAGAAGGCTATAAGCAGATGATTCAATGGCTCCTTGGAAATTTCTGCAGCACTTCGCTATGACGCCCAGAAAACTTGCGACCTTCGAGAAGCTATATCCAAAACTCCAATCGATGAAACGATATGAAATTGGGATATCCTGTAGCTTGCAGCGTCAGCTTTCCGCTGAAAGTTGAACCACTCGATTTTGTAGCTTATCGAATGAGCTATGGCGTTTGGCGCACTGGGGGGTAATCTGCCCTAGGAGAAATTGACAGTCCTCAGAGTCACTATGATTGAAGCTTACAAGTTCAGAGGCATGATGGAAAAGGCATTGAAGCATAGTTGGAAGGTGGGGTGGGAAGGGAAGGATGTGAAAGGGAAGGATCCTGGAGGCCCTTGGTCAAGAACATGACAAGAGTCAAAGTCTTGACTCCCCATCCTCAGGTTCAGCCAGCCTGGCAAGACAAAATTCACACTGTGCCAGGTTGGTCTCCAAACCCCAAGTGCTCCAGCAGCAAGGTGGGGACAAATGTCCCACACATGCTGGTCCCTCCTCGTTATAGGGCTCTCCAACTTTGGTGTAGTAGCTGCCAAGGACTTCCAACGAGTTGTAACAAATCCATCAAGCATTTCTTCGTAACTTCTTCATATGTGCTCCGATTCCAACAATTCTTGGCTCGTTGGAATGCGCTCGATCTGATGTACAATCCAAGCACATCTGCACAAGCACAAGATGAATATGCAAAGACATGCAAACCCAACAAACCACACAAACAACGTAGCACACAAAACACATGCAACAAAATGATGCGAACAGACGACAGGATGACGTGCAAACGAATATGCACCAACAGTCGCATCCCGAGGCGGTCATCGGTACTTTCTTACACTAGTTGATGACCACTCGTGGTATGTTTCTGTGCACCTCCTGCATACCAAGGCGGAGGCACCTGACCTCATCATGGAATGGGTGCGCCAGGCTCAAGTCACGTTCGGCACTCTTCTGAAGTGCCTCCATTCTGATGGCGGGGGAGAATTTTGCAATGGCAAACACGATAACTTCTGCGCGGCCCAAGGGATTCGGGAAACCTTCATGATTCCTGAAAGCCCCTAGCAGAACGGCATTGCAGAGAGCTGCAACCACACCTTGGTTCAGATTGCTCGCTGCCTCCTCTGTCACACCAACGCACCACGGTCACTCTGAAGATAAGCCCTTTTCCCAGCGGCTTTCCTCTACAATCTTTACCCAGATCCCCACCGGCCTGACACCACACCTACCGCGTCTGGGGGTGTACCGCGTATGTGTTGCTCAGCCCCCATACGCACAGGAAACAAGGTGGCAAGCTTGATCCCGAAACCCAGACCTGCATGTACCAGGGGCACAACTCCGACTCCCCAGACTACTTATTCCTCAACCTCATCACCAGACAGCTGATTCGCAGCCGTGATGTCGTCTTCGATAAGACACGCCCCTTCCACTCTGCGACCACGGACGAGCCTCCTCCACCTCCCCCGACGCTTGTATGGGCAGACTTCGATGCCCCACCTCCGGCCGCTGCCCCTTCTCCAGGGCCTTCTCCGTCTGGCGTGTCTCACCCGGCCTCCCCGGTATCCTCCGCAGCGGCACCTCCTCCTGCTCCGCCTTCCCCGCGCGTCGAGCGCGGCTCACAAGTCTCCTACCGGAGGCGCCCAGTCCCTCCGGTCCCACCGCAACCGCCTTCATCTCTTTTTTCTAGTCGCACTCGTTCCAAGGGACCGGCTCCGCCTCTCGCCTGGGGACCAGCCGCCTTCTCCATCCGGTGCTCGGTCACTGCGCCTCCTCCAGCCGGGGGTGATGTCCCCTCCATCCGTATTCCTCCCCGTGCACTTCTGGAGGACAGGCAGGAGGAGCTGTTTGACCTTCACGCGTCTGCCAATTTCTCTCTCACATCTTCCCGGACATTACTGACTGCCCTTCCCTCAACTTCACCGAGAACCCGACCATTCCGACTCCTCGCACAAAAGAGGAAGCTCTCTCAGGGCCTTATAAGAAGGAGTGGAAGGCAGCAATGGATGTGGAGAACGAGGCGTTTATTCGCAACAACAGCATTGACCATGTCGTTCCCCCTTTAGGTGTTAACATCGTTGGCAGAATATGGATCTCCCAGGTGAAGCTCCACTCTTCAAGGCACGATATGTGGCGAAGGGTATCACCCAGAAAGAGTATCTCGACTTCTTCAAAACCTTCTCGCCCACGGCCAAGCTCCCGACTGTGCGCGCTCTTCTTGATATAGCCGCCCGCGGCAACTTCGAGATCCAGTCCATGGATGCCTCCTCCGCCTTTCTCCAAGGCCAGCTCTCGGAGGATGTTTACATGGAATGCCCATCAGGGTTTCTTGGCACTTACCCTGCCAATACAGTGTGGAAGCTGATGTGACTGGTGTATGGCCTCAAGCAGGCTCCTCGTGAGTGGCACAACAAGGTGAAGGAAGTCCTCCTTGCACCTGACCTCCATCCCTCTGCCTCAGATTCCAGTCTCTTTATTCGGGACTCCTCCTAGCCCTTCTAATCCTTGTCTACGCCGACGACTTCATTCTAGTCGCCACAGATCCAGCCAAGATGGCAGCTGTCCAGTCTGCTCTCAGCTCCGCCCTTCTCATGAACGATCTTTGTGACCTCAAGAACTACCTGGGGATGAAGATCACTCGTGACCGCCAGGCTTGCACGATCACCCTCTCCCAGGGGTCGTACATCGATAACCTTCTCAAGCGGTTCGACATGGACTCCAGTAACTCTGTCTCCACTCCACTCCCACTACAGCACCAGCTCACGGCCCCTCCAGTTCCTTCTCCTGACGCCTGCAAGCACCCGTACCCTGAGCTAGTCGGTTCACTCATGTATGCTATGATGTGCACTCGACCAGACTTGGCGTACCCGGTTAGTGTCCTCTCTCGGTATGTCTCCTCCGGACGCTACACTGCCTCCTATTGGTCTGCAGCCAAGAGGGTCCAGCGCTATCTACAAGCCACCAAGTCTCACATCCTCACTTTCGGTGGTACCTCTCCAGTCAAGCTCGAGGGATACACAGACTCCTCATGGGCCGATGACCAGACTGACAGACGCTCCTCCCAAGGGTACTGCTTCACCCTTGGTAGCGGAGTCATCAGCTGGCGCTCCACTCCGTCCTCTGCAGTCTCCCTGTCGTCCTGCGAGGCCGAGCTCTACGCGGGCACAATGGCTGCTCAAGAGGCACGCTGGCTCTCCTTTCTCCTCGCTGAGGTAGGCTACCCCCAGCAGTCGCCCACCCTGTGGTGTGACAACCAGAGTGCCATTCACCTCACCAAGGATCCTGTGTTCCACTCTCATACCAAGCACATCGAACTTCGTTATTTCTTCATCCAAGATCTTGTTCAGAGTGACCAGTTGACAGTACGGTACATCGCCTCAGATTGCAACCTCGCCGACCTCTTTACCAAGGCTCTCGGCAAGGCTGACCACCATCGCCTTCTCCGTTCCATGTGGCTATGTGCTCCTTGACCGGGTTTGCAGTCTATGGGGGTGTGTTAGAAATAGATTGCAAATCCCACTTTTGTATTTGTACTTTTATATCCTAGTTTAGGTTAGGAATGTTCTAGTGGGTTGGGATGTACTCACAAATCCCAACCTCACCCAATTGTGATCCCCCCAATCTCCAATTACCCAATTGGAGATTCTGGAAATCCCAATGGGGATTCCCCCCGATTCCCCCTTCATCCATTCTCTTTTACCTTGCCATGTACTTATAGAGCCTTGGGCTGCTTACCTAATCAATGCTTTTAGCTCTATTTCTTACACCTTGGTGTTGAGACACAGCTCCCGTAAGTCTAGGTTCTCCCCCCATCATTCCTTTCTCTCTTCTTTGCAGGCTTCGTACTCGCACCAGGTTCAAATGCCCACCTCCTCGGCTGCCGTGGGTGTTATCGCCTGAAATGCCTCCCTTGGGTCTCGTTTGATGAAGCACAATGGCAACTTCCCCACTGGTCCTTGCTTCTCCCACAACTGCACTCGGTTAGTCTTGGTTCCTCCCACATGCAGATGGTTGCCCCTATCTTGAACAAGAACTCTACTTCCACCAGTAAATCGTAGTCCTCTGATTGAGATACGCCATACTGCATCCTCACTGCGCATTCTCCCTTCTCCCCCGGCTGCAGCATGATCTCTACCATCATCATCGTCTTTGGCATCCATTTTGCCACTCCTCCCTCCGCCAACATGAGCAGGTAACCCTCGTTGACAAGCCTGTTCCTGCCTGGC